AATTGCCTACAGAGCAAGGGGCTTCGAAAACCTCGAAGCTATTGAGACGGCTCCCTCACACTTTTTCCAGGCTTGGGACTGGCCCGAGCATCATCCTACGAAAATTGCGGTTAGGCGGCGATATTTTTGGTATCAAATATCCACCGAAAAATCATACTCGGAGGCTTAGCGAAAACATGGTTTCAAAGTGTGGAAGTAATTCGGTTTTCACATCCGAAGTACTTCGGTTCTCACATCTGAAATACTTTAGATGTAAGAACTGAAGTTTCGGATGTGTGATCCAAACCTCAGCAGCTAGACCTTAAGTGTTCGGATGCTCAATCCGAAAACTTCAGAGATCCATATGACCTAAACTTTGGGTCCCACGCACGAAGTTTTTTTCTCCGTGCAGTATCTCATGCAATCCGTAGTGCGTGCTTTTCTCAATGAAAAGAAATACTTTGACAAAGACGAAATTCGATGAAGATATTCAAATAGTGAAACAATGATAAGACATTGATTGCAACTGCAAGATTATTGATGTGCTGCGAAATCGGTATATCAAAATGTGAGGAGGAAAAAACCATCAGAATTCAATTTTTAATCTGATCGAGCGCTCATCAAAACGCTGCCACGTGCTATGGGAGGTTGTGAGAGACCATAATGCACATTTGTGGAGTGCAAATGAAGAATTTCTACCCACTGAAAAAATTATTTAAAAAATTCGGCTGATGCGACCTCTGAAAGTTGATCAATTGGCCTGAAATTTTGTACGAGGCAGTTCTTTTACTAATGCAGAACACCCCCTCCCCCCCCCTCACTGGAGGTAACTTATCCGCATTTTTTTGGTTTAATTTCTGTTCTTTGTTGTTTCTTTTTTTTAATACGAAAAAATCCGCTTCTTAGCTATTCTCGCGCTACTGTGTGGGTAATCGTTTCGAGCGACAGTACACACATTGGCAAGCATCAACATAAGTAAATGAATTGAATTTAATCTCCGAACCTTTCACTGCACCCAAAGTACTTACAAGATCTGCCATTGAACATGAAATAAGAAATTCGATGAATAAGTGCAGAGCAGATATCACGAATCTCTGCATTGAGAGGAGCGGCGTTGAACAGCCCCGAGCATTCACAAGTAATTATCAAGCCATGACTTGTTAAACTTATGCTAAGAAACTACCACACTTTAAAACCATGTTTTCGATAAGGCTCGACGAAAAACTCGAGAAAAGCGACGACAACGTCTCTCTTGAAAAGATACAACGCATGCGTTGCAGTAAACGGCTCCCATTTTGAACAAAACCTGTGGGTGAACTGGGCCATTCAATTTTACTGTTGATATCGTCCATTTGTTATGCAAAAAACCAAAAAAAAAACAAAAAAAACCTTTTAAACCTCCCCGAGCATTCACAAGTAATTATTAAGCATGACTTGTTAAACTTATGCTACGAAACTACCACACTTTGAAACCATGTTTTCGATAAGCCTCCGAGTATGATTTTTCGGTGGATATTTGATACCAAAAATATCGCCGCCTAACCGCAATTTTCGTAGGATGATGCTCGGGCCAGTCCCAAGCCTGGAAAAAGTGTGAGGGAGCCGTCTCAATAGCTTCGAGGTTTTCGAAGCCCCTTGCTCTGTAGGCAATTGTTCAATCCTTGTAGGAAAAATTGCCTACACAGCAAGGAGCTTCGAAAATCTTAAAATTTTTCAAAGTTCTTTTGCGTCGAAATAACGCGTTTCTGGAAAATTTTGTGCAGTACCCTGACCCCTTCATTTTTTACGCTCTTTCACGTGCCGTAATCCGTTTTTCGAAATATCATCTACCAAAAAAGTTATCGCAATTTTCAAATTCGGGAACGCTTGTGACGTCATTTTTTGAAGACGTACGTCCTTGAAAACACAAAAAATGAATAGAGCGCTAAAAAATACCCCCCTTAACAAAGTTTCAACCACCTATGAAAAAATGACGAGGAGCTATATTAATTTGAAGGAAAAAAAATGGCAACTTTGGAAGCGCATAGCTCACGTATGAGGCGTTTTCAGGCATATGTGTATAGGAAAAAAAAGTCTTATTTTGAGCCGAAAAAGCGATCCTGAAAGTTAAGTACGTTAACTTCCGGACACCCTGTATATATCCTCAAGGTGATAATAATTCCATCATGCTAATCTTCCGGGAATCTCCAAATGTGTGCTGCAGGAAGTATTAAAGACCTCTGCAAACATAGAATATTCTATGCTACCACCAAGAAAAATGGCAATTAGTAAGCGATTTTTATTTAAATATTTTATGAATCATCCCAAAATTTTGTCTGTCTGTATTTCACAGATTATGTGATCCAGAATCCAAAAGGCTTCGAGTTTCATTAAGTTTTGGCTGAGGTATCATAAAAAAACGCTGTTGCTGAGACGTTACGTGTAAATAAACAGTCACAGCTCTCTGCTCTCGGAGGAGGATCTCTAAAGGCTTGACAGGGTGGCTACCGCTCTTTGTAATTACAAATTATTTAAAGATTTGATTTTAAGGCTGACTTTGACTTGACACTTTAAAGCTTTTATTGCTGATTGCTCATGGCCTATCAAAAACCAATTTTTACGTACAGTTGTATCATGTGCGCGCGCGCGCGTGTGTGTGTGTGTGTGTGTGTTTTTGCTCAAATGAAGCTTATTTTGATCTGCTGTTGTATCTCTATTTATCAGACGAAACTAATCCCGGATACTTTTTTGCGTCTTCTTGCAATATCTTCATCTCTCGGTTAATGAGCATAATAATCAATCTCTTTTTGTTTCAGGTTGTTAGTTCTACTAATGGAGAGTTGGCAAATGATGATCCAACAGCAGGACACTCAAACACACCTATCACTGCGCAAACTGAAGTGGAAATCGTTGATGATACCAGGTATGTGTATTTCTTTCCTGTAGTACGGTGGCTAGTTGCAACTTAGTGGCAAATCGTGATACAGTTTAGCGGTTTTCAGGGGTCAAAGTAGATGACATTTTAAGAGTTTTGAGTCGAAGAGGCATTTCGAATTTAGTGGCAGATCCAAGATGGCGGCCATTCAAAATGGCGCCCGGGCGCGTACTTTGAGCCGCTATAGATCGAGATCCACTGAACCGATTTAATTTTTCTTTTTTTTGTTTGATAGATAATTGAAAGGCAAATAGAACAAAATCACAAAATTTTTGATTTTGACTATATACAGGGTGTTTTTTCCACAAAAACCGGTTTTTCAGAAACCCAAAAATCGTTTACATTTAAATAACTTTTCAGGATGGGCGTACCAGCAATTTAAGATGTGTTTATTCTGAAAGTGCTTGTTTTTAGCTTTCCAACGGTATATTGCACTATGGGTCTGTAATTAACAGTTTGCGTAATATCTTAATCCGCGCGGCGGCGGCACGCGATGGACCTCCGAAATAGCAGTGTAGCGCATACGCCATATCGCTCTAGTTCCGCTTCTATTGAACTGATTTCAGATTTTTTTGTTTTGTTCGGGAGGAGTATCAACGGAGAAATTTGAAGATAGCTAAGGAGGGTCTGAGCCCCCGACTCCTTTTTTATTCAATATAGAAAATGTCTATTTTTGTGCTATTCAGTGTTTTTTCCTTCTAGTACGTTGGCTTAGTGCCAAAAAAAAGGGCAAAATGCTGCAAATCGTGTTATACCACTTTAAGAGGTCAAACAAGATGACATTTGAAGAGTTTTGAGTCGACGAGGCATTTTCAAAATGGTGGCAGATCCAAGATGGCGGCCATTCAAAATGGCGGCCGGCGCGTACTTTGAGCCGCTATAGATCGAGATCCATTAAACCGATTTTATTTCTCTTTTTTTTGTTTGATAGATAATTGAAAGGCAAATAGAACAAAATCACAAACTTTTTGATTTTGACAATATACAGGGTGTTTTTTCCACAAAACCCGCTTTTTGTGCATTGATAAAAAAGCCTTTAACCCATATATCTTTTAAAATCGCATTATTAAGGCCCCTTTAAATACTCGCCATGTAAAAGAGCGTCTTTTGAGCTTTCCAACGATATATTACATGATAGGTCTATAATTTAAGGTTTTCACACCACTGCGATCTGCGCGACGGCGGCACAGCGCGGGCCTGCATAAATTAATCCAGGGGCATATGTTGAAAAGAAGCCTCCCGTGGAATAGTGAATGGAGCAAGTGTGAAAAGTGGCCTAATCTCTTCTTTTCGATGTGCAGAAAAATAATTTAGATGTTGTCTAGCTCAATTTTGCGTCCAACCCCTCCAATTCAAGATGGCGGCCAAAATGGGGGCTCGGGGGTTGAAGATGTTGGAATTTGTTTTTGATGCCGTGTAAGGGGTCTTTCACTATGTAACTTTGGTCGTAGAGTCCGAATTTGAGGTCCAAAATTGTCTCCGGCTCAAAGGGATGCCCAAAATCCAATATGGCCGCCAAAATTTCCACGATAGGGTCAAATCTCCGAAAGTTGCGTAAAACTGCCAAGTAGTATATCTTTCATAGGGTTTTCTGGGTCGTAAATTTCACCGATGAGGTCAGAATTTCACTACAGGTTTATTGAAGCCCAGAAATTTCAAAATGGCGGCCAATATGGCTGCCGTTGCGGAGTGAAATATTTTGTTTAGGCTCGTATCCTCGAGTGCCATACGGCAGCCATATTGGCCACCATTTTGAAATTTCTGGGCTTCAATAAACCTGTAGTGAAATTCTGACCTCATCGGTGAAATTTACGACCCAGAAAACCCTATGAAAGATATACTACTTGGCAGTTTTACGCAACTTTCGGAGATTTGACCCTATCGTGGAAATTTTGGCGGCCATATTGGATTTTGGGCATCCCTTTGAGCCGGAGACAATTTTGGACCTCAAATTCGGACTCTACGACCAAAGTTACATAGTGAAAGACCCCTTACACGGCATCAAAAACAAATTCCAACATCTTCAACCCCCGAGCCCCCATTTTGGCCGCCATCTTGAATTGGAGGGGTTGGACGCAAAATTGAGCTAGACAACATCTAAATTATTTTTCTGCACATCGAAAAGAAGAGATTAGGCCACTTTTCACACTTGCTCCATTCACTATTCCACGGGAGGCTTCTTTTCAACATATGCCCCTGGATTAATTTATGCAGGCCCGCGCTGTGCCGCCGTCGCGCGGATCGCAGTGGTGTGAAAACCTTAAATTATAGACCTATCATGTAATATATCGTTGGAAAGCTCAAAAGACGCTCTTTTACATGGCGAGTATTTAAAGGGGCCTTAATAATGCGATTTTAAAAGATATATGGGTTAAAGGCTTTTTTATCAATGCACAAAAAGCGGGTTTTGTGGAAAAAACACCCTGTATATTGTCAAAATCAAAAAGTTTGTGATTTTGTTCTATTTGCCTTTCAATTATCTATCAAACAAAAAAAAGAGAAATAAAATCGGTTCAATGGATCTCGATCTATAGCGGCTCAAAGTACGCGCCGGCCGCCATTTTGAATGGCCGCCATCTTGGATCTGCCACCATTTTGAAAATGCCTCTTCGACTCAAAACTCTTCAAATGTCATCTAGTTTGATCTCTGAAAGCCGCTAAACTGTATCACTATTTGCCACTATTTGCCCTTTTTTGGTAATTAGCCACCGTACTACTGCAGCTTCTCTATTTTTGTCAGTTATTGGTTGATATTACAGCTCTTCTTTGTATTCTTATTCCAAGCTTAAAGAATTACTGAGATAATTAACACAACTAACTCTGTACATGACCTAACAAAGAAATAGCATTTCCTCCATATCAGGTTAAAATTAGAGGCATGCCAAGTTTTTGAAAGTCCCATTAAGACAGCTGGCTTGTGTGTGATTCAACTGCGAAGTTTTGATTTGGAAATTCGAAACTTTTCTGCTTCGTTTTTTGCAGGCTTTTTTAGTTTGTACTTGCAGTTTTTCTAATTTTCAGATGTACATAGAATAATTTGCAGAATTGTATTTTTGCAGGTTCTAGCTTGCGATACTAGTTTGTAGCGTTCATAAGCAAAGATTTTTGAAGGTTTTCCTTGGATTTTTCCTATACTTCTAATAATATTCGCAACCGAAACTGAAGGGATTAGAGCAAAACAAAATGTGTGAAGGTTTAGAGTGATTGTGGGAACTTGCTTACACCTATGTTTAATCGCAGCTTTTTCAGTGATTTCACGTTTTCTCCGATACATATCATTTATCGTCTCTACAGTATCTGAACCCTCCCCCCCTGTAACAGAGTTTTAGATGAACTTTTTTAAGTTTTATTCTTCAATGAGCATACTTCTTCCAATTGGAAAAAAGAAAAGGTAGAGGAGCAGAGCTCCTTCTCACACTCACACAACTTTCCGAATTTTTTTACTTCCGAAAATTGTAAACTTTTCCCATCAATAAGTATTTTAAGAAAGGGGTATGTACAAAACTGTGAGTTATCTACGTTTGCAAGGATCTTAAGACTCGAGTTTCTCTCTCTAACATTGATACAAAATAAATAGATTTCAACATAAAATTAACACGGATGGACTGTAAAGAAAATATTCCGCCCATTTCAGGTAACAAAAAGGGGTACGTGCAAAATGGGCCATTTGGGGCTCAGGGCAGGTACCTTTAAGACTTGCCCAATTCATTCACCAAACAATGCCCCATTTTTTTCAAAGTTTCAAGCCTCCCAAAAATTTTGGGGAGAAGCAGCGGGGGGTCAAAGTTAAAAATCAGCAACATTTTCGCGAATTTGTCATTCGAAAACCGAGAAGTTTTGAAAAACGCGGTTTAACGAGCGCTTCCAGCGTGACGAGAGCTTTCAGAAAATGTAAACATCATGGGGTTTAGTCGACTTCAGCTCGAGTTATCGCCTCCAAAGCGGCGGAACGCTATAAGAAGACCCCATTTTTTTCACATCTGGGCCAATTTCAAAAGAAGCCATTTTTTTTTATTTTGATGAAAAACTGATATGTTATTCCTGACTCTCTGTAGCCCCTCTAGCTTTTTACCGCATGCTGGGGAAATGTTTTGGTCGCGAGTTACTAGAGCGGAAAGGAGCTAAGGTTGGAAAAATCGGCTATTTTAAACTCCGCTCGCGGCGTTGATTGGAAGGAAAATGTTTCCTCCCACTCAATTCTGCGAATCACACTCCTCGGCCGAACTCGCATTGTTGCCATTTGTCGTCTGGTCCGTCGCTGCGCGCAGTTTAAAATGGTCAATTTTTCCAACCCTCGCTCCTTTCCGCTCTTGTAACTCGCGACCAAAACATTTCCCCAGCATGCGGTAAAAAGCTAAAGGGGCTACAGAGAGTCAGGAATAACATATCAGTTTTTCATCAAAATAAAAAAATGGCTTCTTTTGAAATTGGCCGGGATGTGAAAGGAAATGGGGTCTTCTTTTAGCGTTCCGCCGATTCGGAGGCGATAACTCGAGCTGAAGTCGACTATACCCTATGATGTTCACGTTTTCTGGAAACTCTCGTCACGCTTGAAATGCTTGCGAAACCGCATTTTTCAAAACTTCTCGGTATTCGAGTTACAAATTGGCGAAAATGTTGCTGATTTTTAACTTTGACCCCCCCCCCCCCCNGCATCTCCCCAAAATTTCCTGACTTGAAACTTTGAGAAAAGATGGAACATTGTTTGGTGAATGAATAGGGCAAGTCTTAAAGGTATCTGCCCTGAGCCCCAAATGGCCCGTTTTGCACGTAACCCTTTTTGTTACCTGAAATGGGTCGAATATTTTCTTTAGAGTCCATCCATGTTAATTTTACGTTGAAATCCATATATTTTGTATCAATGTTAGAGAGGAAAACTCGAGTCTTAAGATCTTTGCAAGCGTAGATAACTCACAATTTTTTACCTCAAAACTTTTATTCTTTTTTATTTTTCTGAAAATGTTTTGATTTTGTGAAAGAAAAGAATT